ATGCTCTTGCGTATCGAATCAACTGAGAGATATATACCCCGTATGCAGGTGATGAAGGTATATTGCTGCATAAGTAAGGGAAGTTGACGATTGAAAAGTTAAAGTCATCACGTTTATCATAAAGCTTGGTTGTTAGATTACCATTAAAGTCTTTTTCAAGTAAAATATCCAAATATGAAACAGATGTGTCAGACTCTGTGGTATCCTTTATCTCAAGCTCACCAGGATATATCGTATCGACATAAGAATGAAAATAGCCATTGTTAATTGACAATACATCGTCGATATATCTAAATGTCGAGTTGAAGGCCACACCAAGTGTTCTCTTCTTTTCACGTACAAGATTTTGGACAAATTCTGCTTCATATGAATACAAAAAAAGGTCTGCTAATAACGGGGCGCAATTGGTACCCATGGGAATTCCAATAGATTGTTGGAAGACCTGGTCTCCAAAAACCACATAGATATTGTCAATCAGAAACTCAAGCATCGTTTTAATGTCAACTTCAGAGTACTTGTGTGTACAATCAGAATTTTTTTTTAACAAAATAATTTTGCAAATGACCAATGACAAGGTAAGTATATTTACGAGTTCCATTTTTATTGAAAAAGCAGCTGTCAATTATATCAAAAAGCCTGGACTTTAATTTATCGTGGGGAATGGTTGTGTATAAAGTAGAAAAGTCATAAGTTTTTAAGCTGTTGATTTTGGTAAAATCTGGCGATTTCAAATTTTCCAAAAGTTCCTTGGAATTTTTAAGTATCCACATCTGATTTACACCACTTCTCGAATATATTGTTGCACAGTACTCTTGAAGTTTCTCCTTCACTGCTGTTAATATCTTAGTGAGGAGTAAAGAAAGAGGCTTGGTAGAACATTTACTGGAACCCCCTATGTATCTTTGTTTGTAAGGATTTTTATGAAGTTTCGGAATCCAATATAAATATGGTAATTCAAATTCATTTTGGTTGTTTGGAATATTAAAAATAATCAAAACTGACATATGATTTTCCTCCTTAGAAAGGGAACTACGAGTATAAGTTGGATTACCACTTGTAGAATTAAATCCAAGTTCCTCTAAAATACATTTAATATAATGAGCCTTACAAACAAAGACAATGTTGTTACCTGCTTTGTCAGCAGGGACCAGTACGTACTGATCATGTAATCTATCTAATTCTTTTTTCACATCATTCCTAAAGTCTGCTGAGCTGTGGTTAACCGACCAAATCGTCTTTAACCATGTTTGATCCTTACACATGATGACTGCAGATCATCAAATACACCCATCTTTTAAGAAAGTGACATTGAGAAAAAATTGCACATACACTTTTCGGGCATAGGTGCCCCTTGAAACCCTTTTTAACACTGAGTATCGTTGTAACCTCGCGAATATCTAACATATATATAGCTCTTTTGCGATGAAGCCAAGAAAGCTCTAAGTCTCGCGTTATTTTCAGGGCATAACAATATTGCTCACGCTAGTGACAATCGAATGATTCGAACAATGAGTAACCGAAAGCACAATGCATTGCCAGAGTTTACACCCCAGAAAGCAAGTCATCTTATAGGAATATTTAGACTTCCAAACTAAGATATTTCACCAGGAATTCTTTCTTTTATGTCCTTTACAATCAGTAGTGATCGGTTTATTGTATTTTAAAGCACATTGTGTCCAGCTAATTAACGTTTCCTACCTCCACAGCGAAGGAGTTCCGTTAAATTAAGTAATCGCGTGTAGTTTGGTAATGACGCTACTTGGGTATTACGGGATGTAAATATCAGTGTTTTGATAGCACAGTAGGTTTATTAATTTGGAGTGGAACGATCAGAAACATTCTGCAAATTAGCTTACTAAGACTGGATATAAATTACATTCGAGTAGAATATCTTGCATATAGCATAACCCAACTACACTTGTTTACAACTATAAAGTGCGTGTCGTGAGTTAAAACATATCAAATAATACTGACAAAAGATGGTTATCATATCCTCAGACATACATAATTCAACTACATGCAGGTCAAAATAAGAAGATTAATGTGAAGACGCCCAGCAATGACGATAAAAAACATGTACTCACGATCAACATATTGGTTTGGATGGAGCGGTAACCTGCAATGAGAGAAAAAACACACTCATTCTCTTCTTCAGTATTTGAGACGCATCGATTATTTCCTACGCACATCAAACATATTGCTGTCACAGATTTACGATCAATCTTTTTTATATTCAATGTTCAAAGAAAGCTATCAGATATTTTGCCGTGGAAGATTTATTTGCCCGCAAAATCAATGGGTAGATAGAATTTTATGTACCCCGAAGGTACGTCAATTATTAAAATAATCAACGACATATAAAATATTATCTGCTATTTCACCAAATGAAAAAAATAAGGCAACTTAATATTTCAGAACCTCTCTTATAAAGGGGCAATTGTATTCTAAAAATCGAAAAACAGTGTACCGAAAAATGTCCGAAAATATGGAAACTGTACGTGTATTTAAGGAAGCTCTAAGCACTGCACACTAAAGAGTACGGTACTATTTGTAGGGTAGTTTTATTGAGTTAGAGTGCCCTTAGAAGAAAAATAGAATAAATGGGAATCTCAAGTTAATGACACAATTTGTTATGAATTAAGGACAGACGATACGTTCCTCAACAATATATAATTTTTTTCTAAGATTTTGTCATTGAAATATTGCTACTTTAACATGTTTACTCACAAAAAATTGAAGTATCTTACCAGGAATTTGTGCAAGATACCAGAGGATAATTTTTCTTATATAATCCTTTTGGAAAAAAATTAATTTGACAATATCAATTCTTTTAGAGCTTGGTCTTAATAAAGACAATTAGAAACTGGTTTAGAAATCAGAAGGTAATTAAAATTTTGAATATTTTTCATACTTTACGAAGATATACATAACAGATATTTGAGGAACGTATCATCTGACCTTAAAGTATTCTTAATGTTATGTTAGACCAAGATTAAGTAAGTGAATACATCATTTCCATTGATTTTCCCGATGTAAGTAAACAACAGTGATTTCTGTTCACAGATAGTTCATTGTCTTTGAACATTTTTCCTGCAGAAATAGGGCAGGTACCCTATGTTGAAAATGAACTAGATACACTAAAAATGTGCACCTTTATATGATATATTTTTTTCAAAGTCCAAAAAGCATTTTTGATTATAGTGTTTAGAGCTTCCTTAAGATGATAAAATAACATGTGTCAGGAGTTATCTATATTTTTGTAGAATACATAATTAAGCTTTGTCAATGACAATGACAGTGAATTTATTCTCATAAATTGACATTAAGTACAGTGCAGAGAAAGATTACAGATAAAGTTAAATATATGTTCATGCGTAAAAATGAAATAAAGTACCAAGACAAAATACTTACAATGAGCAAACCAGGAGAGCCAAACCTCTCAGTGATATTTTTTACAAAAATAAATTTACACAGTTTTATAATTTTAACTGTATTTTTTTTAAATGTTGATCAAATTTATACACATTTGGATATAAATAGTACTTTGATATTAATGATAATCTTGATTTCAAAATAAATGATTCATTACAATTAAATAAGTAATGATATTCATCACCAATTTCATTTTTGGAACATAACTTACAAATTCTATTTTCTCGTGGTACATTTTGCCTTCTCCCAACTTCAATCGGTAATTCATTATTACAAGTTCTAAACCTACAAATATTTCCAATACTTACAGGCAAATATATTAAATACGTTTCTAAACAAAATGAATTTTTATATAATTATTCTATAATTTATAGACTTTTAGATGAATTAAACATTTCACTGTACCATGACTGTTTAACCTGATCGTACAGAGTGTTAAAAACTACCTTCTTTAACTGGTTGGAAGTTTGCCAGATATAAGAAAGCCCAATCATTCAGTATAATAGATTTGATAAAGTTACACTGTGGATTATTGTAGTTCTTTAAAACACTTAACAGATTTGATGATAATTTATCATCTTGTAAAAAAGATCATTTACACCAAAAACTTATCATTCTTACCTTTACATATTAAATGAAATAAGGTATCTACCTAATTCACTGTATACCATAAAATTTGGTGTAGATGATTTTACATGCATAATATGTTAACAACATTTTAAATGCAATTTTTCAAGTAATGGTGACCGATTATAACCCCGTACTTCACATCAATTATATGGAATATTTTCTATGTTGGATTCACTAATTCAGATGCAGTATATATATATTCTCATATTTACCGTTATTTGATTATGCACATCTGATTACAATGTAGAAAAAGGTAAGGCAGACATTTCTGAAACATGTATCATCAGGTCTTATGGACCCTCTGATATATTTCAGAATAAACTTTATTTAATAACAATTTGAATAATTTATACTTTTTTTTATTATCAATATTTAATTTCCATTTGACATCTTACAGAGCTTTCCTCATTTAACCCTTTCTTTATTTTGCAAAGAACCGTTTACACTTATTTTTCCCCGGTGATAATTTGTTGGAGATATCCTAAGGGTATAACACCCGGGACTGCTGCATATATTTTGTAGCAGTTGGATCCTGAGTATCAGCAACTGAAGCGAGTTTCCCCAAGACGGACAATAACTTCAACCTAAAGAATACCATGTAACCCAGGAAGATCGGTCACGTGACGAGCTCCGAGACGGGCGTGATTATGTGGGCTCTGTCTTTTTTACAAAATATTCTATTAAACTCGGGATTTTAATCGAGTTTTTGCACTATTAAGTGCTATTCTGTTTTTAGCTCACCTCGACGAAGTCGAAATGAGCTTATGCTATACCCCCGGCGTTGGCGTCCCAGTCAAAGTTTCAGGAGCAAGTCTATTCCCAAGTAACTATAAGCCCTACCTGGACCAAACTTGCATGGATGATGCATCTAGGGATGGACTTATCCAGACTTGTTTCGGATGCTGGACTTGACCTACATTTTCCAGATGAGTGACAAGATTAAAGTTTTTGGAGCAGGTCCATTCAAAAGTAACTATAAGCCCTACCTGGACCAAACTTGCATGGATGATGCATCTAGGGATGGACACTATCAGACTTGCTTCGGATGCTGGATCTGACCTACATTTTCTAGATGACTGACCAGGGCAAAATTTTTGGAGCCGGTCCATTCCCAAGTAACCAGAAGCCCTACCTGGACCAAACTTGCATGGATGATGCATCTAGGGATGGACATTAGCAGACCTGCTTCGGATGCTGGACCTGACCTACATTTTCCAGATGAGTGACCAGATTAAAGTTTTTGGAGCAGGTCCATTCCCAAGTAACTACAAGCCCTATCTGGACCAAACTGGCATGGATGATGCATCTAGGGATGGACACTAGCAGACCCGCTTCGGATGCCGGATCTGACCTACATTTTCCAGATGAGTGACCAGATTAAAGTTTTTGGTGCAGGTCCATTCCCAAGTAACTGTAAGTCCTATCTGGACCAAACTTGCATGGATGATGCATCTAGCGATGGACACTACCAGACTTGCTACGGATGCTGGATCTGACCTACATTTTCCAGATGAGTGACCAGGTTAAAGTTTTTGGAGCAGATCCATTCCCAAGTAACCAGAAGCCCTACCTGGAACAAATTAAACTTGCATGGATGATGCATCTAGGGATGGACATTAGCAGACCTGCTTCGGATGCTGGATCTGATCTACATTTTCCAGATGAATGAATTATAGCCATACTTTAACAAAATTAGCAGGGATGATGTATCTAGGGATGGACACTTCTAGACTTGCTTTGGATGCTGAATATGACCTATATTTTCCAGATGAGTGAACAGGATAATTTTTGTAGTAGCTCTATGATTATATGGCTTGTTATGACTAAGCTTGCATGGATGGTGCTTCTAAGGATGGACACTTCCAGTCTTGCTTCAGATGTTGGAACTGGCCTACATTTTCGTGATTAGTGAACAAGTAAAAGTTTTTGGAGTAGGTCCATTCTCAAGTACCTACAAGTCCTACTTAAACCAAACTTGCATTGATATTGATCCTGGGATGCACACAAACTAGGAAAAAAATTTGATGTGAGATTTCCAGGTACTGAAAGATTTCATTCGTCGAGGTGAGCTTAGTAATCTTTGATTACCTATGTTTTGTGTATATGTTAAATTACCTTTCTTCATATTTTTGTGTATTATTGAATGATTCAGTGATTTCTTCATTTTTCCATTGTGTATATAATTTTGTTTACCCCGTTATCGAGTGTACGGGTGAGTAACTTCTCATTTGTGTTTACCTGTCTGATCAGCGTGATCATTGTGATCACTGAACAATGGATAACAAGACAGATAAACCGATGTATTTCAAAAACAGTAAATTGCTTGCTGACAACCAAACTATAATAGACTATGATATTCTTCAGTCAGTTATAAGGAGTGTTGGAGGCAATGTGAAATGTCTACAACTAGATAGAGATCTTTGGCGTATCTACTTAACAAAGAATGCAGACAAAAACTGCTTCGCGAGGGTTTCCAGTTCAAAAACCAAACCGTTTCAGTGTACGTTTCAAACCCATTTTCTTCTGGTGCTATGAATCCAAGTGATCCTTTGCTGAAAGAAACAGTGTCTGGTATTCCTCTGTCAGTACAAGACACAGAAATCATAAAAATACTACATGGTTTCAATGTTGAACTTTAAAGTAAACTACTTTATAAAAATACAAGAAATCCAGTTACAGAAAAAATGACCAGCGTTCTTAACGGTAATCGTTTCGTGTATATTGTACCGTTATCTGAAGAAACCCTTTTGCCTAGGATTGTATACTGTGTCGGTCACAATGCCGTATCTATCACTACGGTCAAAATAAGTCAAAATAAGATATAAAATGTAAAAACTGTTGGGAAACCGGCCATCATGCGCGCAACTGCAAAAATGAACAACGATGTAAAGTGTGCAAGCATGCAGGCCATGAACCAGGCTCGGAGGACTGTCAATACCACGGGAAACAAAATGATCGTGTCGTGGCTTTCCACGACCATAAAAATGTTCTTTCAAATTTCTATACAACAGATATAAAAGTCAACAGTGAGACCCAAAGATTCGCCAAACACGCATTCCAGTCACGAGGGGTGATCAAAAAGTTCGCCAACTAATTGAATTGCTTCCATAAAAAGATATAAAATTAGATTTCAGTGTTTATATTTTTTAAACTAGTCCTATCCGATTTTAATGCACATCTTCCAACGTTCTGCCCATGCGTGAATCACGTGATCCAGGCAGTCACGTGACATGCTCCGTAGCCTGCTGTTCACAGAAGCTTAAAGATTTTTCCGAGTCTTATATTTCTTTCCCTGAAAGTTATTTTTAATAACAAGAACAGTCCATTTATCAGAAATGGCTTTGTTTCGGCAATAGGATGGGTGGATAAGGATATCCTTTCCCAGAATGAGCATGGTGACCATCAAAACCCGAGTCCTCTGTCTTGGGAGCGTCGTTTATCCAATGAGGATAAAGCATGGGCGCCTTCTTCTCATCATATCTGATATATTTAAAGTCTAAAGTAAACGATGTGTTAGGGATTTAATAATTATATTATTGTTAAGATATTCAACTATTTTTCGAATTGTAACTTGTAGATCTTTCGTAATGGATTGCTCAACTAAGGACACATCTTTTCCCGAGCTTGCTTTCACTGGGCAACAGAAAAAAACGTCATTTTTAACCATCTCCCTTCCTTCACTTAAACAATCAATCCAATTAATGATTGAACTTCTGGCAAGTCTTTTTTCTTCATAAACTTTGTACAAATTATTATTTGTTTCTGCAAAGGAATTTCCAAGATATACAAAAAACTTTACAGCCGTTCGTTGCTCAAGTACGACTGAGTTAACCATTTTTTGTCACAAGTCGTCTACACATAGACGTCATTTTCACATTTTGACGTCACAAACATGGAGCAAAACATCACATAACAGCTGTTAAATCTATCTAAAGAATATTTGTATGACTGTACGTGTACTATATTTCATTCTGATCCAAATTGTGGTTTTGTAAATACAGAGATAGTTTGCGAACTTTTTGGTCACCTCTCGTAACAAAAGCGTTACGCAGTGGCGACGTTATCGCCGCAGAGAGAGTAAGAACAGCGACTACTTTCCTTGAAGCAAAGCGTATTGGTGATACTGTAACAACAAATTCAACTTGGGAAGCTGAAAAGACGTGGGTCATGTAAAACATAATTGAAGCCAAATTCAGCCAAGTTGAGATGTTTCGTGAGAAAATTACAAAATGTGGATCGAAGCGACCTATGACGACTTCTGGGGAAGTGGACTCGATGAACATGCTACACTGAATACTAAACCCAAAGCATGGCTTGGCTTAAATAAGTTGGGTCAGATAATCGTGTCTGTGGCTTAGACACACCGTCAGAAGACTCGCCCTAGTCGCAGCTTCTCAGGCCCGAAACAACCTGCACGAAAAGCATCTAAAAAATATACAGCAAGAGATCACTACTTTCGTCAGTCGGCTGAAAGATGGGCCTACCAAACGCTTACGCGATAGCCTCTGTGCAGATGATGACAGCCAGCATCCTGACAGCGAGTAAGGTATCTCTGTGAACTCAGTCTAAGTAAATCTTTTATACCGAATAATGAACACTGACCTATTGATATTTTTTCCCTCAATCTAAGGGGTATGAATGATTATAAGAAACGAACAATTTTGTATGATGGGCTACAAAACCTAGATATTGATATTGTTCTCCTACAAGAAACTCACTATATTGAATCCAGGGATGGGGTCAATTACTTTAAAAAGGTAATTAATTAAAGTACAATTACTTTGACTAATTCTCTTCAATTAAATTACAATTAAATTAGAGGCTTTCTAAGATGTGTAATTAGGTCTTCCGTTTTCGACGGAAGACCTATAGTGATTCTACTGTTTCTTATTAGGTCTTCCGTTTTCAACGGAAGACCTATAGTGATTCTACTGTTTCTTATTATTATTATTTTTCATTTTTATTTTTTTGACCTTTTCAAATCGCGATATCTCAAAAACTACTCATTCGTTTTCAGCCAAATTTTCAGGAATGATGTCTTATCTCATGCCATTTTGAAATATTGAAAAAGTTTGGAAAAAGTTACTTCCGGTCGGGAATTATTACGATTTTTCACTTTTTCCACTAAAAATCTGGTCCGTGAATGTTCTCAGAAACTGTTAAAGGTAAGATTCTGAAACTTTCAGGTATGATAGAATTTGGTTTGTAGATGTGTGATGGAAACATTTCGTGTGTCGTCGTCACTTCCGGTCGTCACAGGAAGTGATTTAAAAAGGGTAATTTTTTTAACTTTTTTGTTTTTCATTATTTTTTTATGATGTTGATATGCTAAATAAAGAGTCTTACAAGAATGCTAAATATGCAATTTGTTTAAAAATTGATTAATCAATACTGTAAATATTTATCATTTTTCAATTTTAAGCGATGATGTTTGATAGCATAATGGTTAGTATGTTGAATTTTCACGTGGGCGATCCGAATTCAATCCAAAGAATGTCCGAATTTTTTTTCTCACTTTTTGGGGCTCAAATATAAGATTTTATCTTTAAGGGGGGGGGGGGGGAGGGCGCTATGTCGTTCGACGACAGAGCAGCGGTGTTTGACGGCACAATATCAGCGTGTCTTTTTACTCCCTCATAAAGAGTTTGCAGTTGAATTTTGCACTAATCAATGTGCATAGATGCAATTGTGATATGACAAAACGAGGAACACATGTTGGTACAAATGTATATGTACATGTAGCTAGATAACTATGCAATTGTATCATAAATTGGAGATTTGCCGAATTGTATTTTGAAAGTAGAATTTGTTACTTTCTCATGTTGATTGAATAACATATAGCAATTTCAAATGAGAGAAAAATAAACTTCAATGATATTTTTCTTTGATTTTAGTAGGATAATATTCCTTTATAGATGCAAGTTACTGAACATAATAGGTATCAGATTCCTTGAGCGTCATATGGCGAGAAGTGTTTTGTTGCGAAACATTCCAGTCTTTTCATTAATGTGTTACTAATCGGAATAATTCACTTTGGGGGTAAAGAGGAATATAACATGCGTAAGAAAACTTAGCGCTGCCTTTATGTTACTTGCTCGTATACGATATGTTATATGTACAGTGTGATAAATATACATTCTTAGGCTCGAAAATCAGGCTGATAGCAACATATTTTTTTTCTTTTGAATTTCATTGAAGCTATCACGTACACTTATTCAATTGAAGACGCATTCCAAAGAAAAAGCGCGAAGATTTACTCGTGACGTTTAGCGCGAAATAATGTATCTTGACTCGCCTTTCACAAATGGTCTGATGCAGTAGTGTAGAAGTACAGAAAAAGATTACACGGATATGTCTGTATTTGGAATTGCATAGAATAGAAAGTTGAATGCATAAAGAATAAAGGAAATAAACACAACAGGTTTTTTTTTTTTTATAGTTTTTATCAGTAACAGATTATTTTCTCTGCTATCAGTTATTGTTAAAACTCAAGTAACAAATCCGATGTAAATCTACTAGCACTTGCACAAAATTTAGCTGGCTAGTTTTCATCCTATAAGTCCGCACTATAAGAAAAAAAAATAACCTGCCCGACACTCGTTACTTGAGGGAATGAGTGCAAGGTAAACATCGATGATGGCTGGTACATTGCGCTAGTGTAGTGGTTTCAATATTAAAGAACAAGGTTCGCTTAGGGCCTTTTTTGGCCCTGTGAATTTCAGAAAAACTGAAACTGCTTGGTTTTAGTTGACAATGCATTAAATATTAATTAGACCTTTGATGACTGCGTATATATAAAAAATGACGTAATTTTCTGGCTACCCTATGCATTATGACGTCATGAAATGTGTCATTTTCCTCGTATCTGAAAATTTCTACAAAACAGCCAATTTTTAAAGCTATTTTTCGATATTTAATATAGGACGTAACCTCTGATCTTAAATATGCAACTATTAAATGATAGAACTATTTCTGAGGATTACAAAACCTGTTTTATTTTTTAGAATCAGAGGATGCGCTCATATTATTTCTCTTCCTTTTTTTAACTAGAATTTGCATCACTTTATTGCCTCTCTTTCGCTGTTTTGAAATATGTTAGATTCCACCGGGAAAAAAACGTCAACTTCCGGTCTATTGCTCGGCAACAGTAAACGACTGAAGTCTAAAACTTTCAGGACTGATAGTCAGTCACCAGTTTATTTGAATCGTGACAGAATCCTTGTATCGCCGTTATTTCCGGTCGTGACAGGAAGTGATGCAAAAAAGGAATGGTTAATTGTTAGCACGTTGGACGACCAGGGTTAAATCTCCAGAGTGTCTGAATTTCTGTTATCACTTTTTCAGCTTGAGTTTTCTTTTTTTCAGAATCGGACGGAAGACCTCTCATTGCTCGCAATGAGTTTCTAGTTATTAAGGTCTTCCGTTTCAGTCGGAAGACCTTATAGTGATTGTACTGTTTATTATTATTATTTTTTTTTTCCCCATTTTTTGTCCAAGCGATTTCTCAGAGATGGCTCGATGGATTTTCTTGAAACTTTCAGGGATTATGACAAATAAAATAAACTAAAAACATTTTGAAGGATTTTGCAAAATTCACTTCCGGTCGTCAGATATGTCCGATTTCCGTTTTTTCAAAAGAGTTCATGTCCGGACGTTTTCTCAGAAAGGGTAAAAGATTAAGACACCAAACTTTCAAGGATTATAGATCATGACAAGTACGTTTGTGGAACATGTTTAAATTTGTCAGCCGTCACTTCCGGTCGTCACAGGAAGTGACCAAATAAATCGAAAATTTCAACTTTTCTTATTTTAATTAATTCTCGCATCACATTATTGCATCTGTTTTGCAGTTTCGAAATATGTTGGTCTCACCGGAAACAAAAACGTCAACTTCCGGTTATAAGCGAAAAACTACATAATTTGAGTATTTAACTTTCCCATAAATATCGCTTATAGATGAAGTATTTGAAATGATTTTAAGATATGTTATTTAGACTGCAAATGTCTAGAGTAACGTCAAATATCTTGGTAAAAATCACTTCCGGTCGCGTGTTTTACTGTCCGCAAAATAAGAACTTGTCAAAGTGAGATCTCAGAAACGGTAAGAGATTAAGACACCAAACTTATATAAGTAATAGAACTTAATGAGTAGGCAAAACCCTTTGAATTATTAGCGTCAGCCGTCACTTCCGGTCGTTACAGGAAGTGATCAAAGAAATCAAAAATTTCAACTTTTCTCTTTTGAAATAAAACTTGCATCATATAATTGAATTTCTTTCACAGTTTTAATATGTGTTGGTCTCACTGGAAACAAAAAACGACAACTTCCGGTTATAAGAGAAAAACACGCGACCGGAAGTGCATTTTCCTAAGATTGTTGACTTCACACTAGACAATTGTAGTCTCAATAATATATGTAAAAATCATTTCAGAAACTTTATCAATAGTGATATTTTTGGGAAAGTTAAAAATAGCAATTCTGTCCTCAAATTGAGATTTTGTTCACCTAATTGCTCAAAAACAGTACTTGACTGAAGTCTAAAACTTTCAGAACTGATAGTCAGTCCTCAGTTTATCTACATCATGTAAAAATCGTACGTTGCCGTCACTTCCGGTAGTGACAGGAAGCGATGAAAGAAAGTGAATTTTTAAAGTTTTTTTTCTTTTTACAGAAATGTTTGGCTAATGCGGATGTTAGATAGACCATAACCTTGCAATTTATTTTCAGCGGAAGTGCTAACCGAAAAACCGGAAGTTGTCTCAAACATGAGTAGTTTTTCATGGAAACTTTTAGGGAGGATCAGTTGTGAATAATTTAAGTGTAGAATGAACATTTTATTCGTTTGGAGCACTTTTGTTCATGATGAAGTACATAAAGAAAACAGGAAAGTATATCCGTTTGTTTTTATTTGTATTTACATATCTTTGGAAGCCTTGAGATAACTTTTGTTAATTATTTAGAGTAATTTTATTGACAAGATTGTGGTTTTTTTTCGAAGAAGTCAAGAAAACGGAAGACCTGTTATTGCCTACGCAATAAGTATCTAGTTATTATTATTATTATTATTATTTTTCATTTTTATTTTTTTGACCTTTTCAAATCGCGATATCTCAAAAACTACTCATTCATTTTCAGCCAAATTTTCAGGAATGATTTGTTATCTCATGCCATTTTGAAATATTGAAAAAGTTCGGAAAAAGTTACTTCCGGTCGGGAATTATTACGATTTTTCACTTTTTCCACTAAAAATCTAGTCCATGAATGTTCTCAGAAACTGTTAAAGGTAGGAGTCTGAAACTTTCAGGTATGATAGAATTTGGTTTGTAGATGTGTGATGGAAACATTTCGTGTGTCGTCGTCACTTCCGGTCGTCACAGGAAGTGATTTAAAAAGGGTAATTTTTTGAGCTTTTTTGGTTTTCATTATTTTTTTATGATGTTGATAGGCTTAATAAAGAGTCTTACAAGAATGCTAAATATGTAGTTTGTTTAAAAATTGATTTACCCATACTCTGAATATTTATCATTTTTCAATTTTAAGCGATGATGTTTGATAGCGTAATGGTTAGCATGTTGAATTTTCACGTGGGCGATCTGGATTCAATCCAAAGAATTTCCGAATTTTTTCTCACTTTTTGGGGCTCAAATATAAGATTTTATCTTTAAGGGGGGGGGGGGGCTATGTCTTTAGACGTCAGAGCAGCGGTGTTTGACGGCACAATATCAGCGTGTCTTTTGACTCCCTCATAAAGAGTTTGCAGTTGAATTTTGCACTAATAATGTGCATAGATGCAATTGTGATATGACAAAATGAGGAAAACATGTTGGTGCAAATGTATATGTAGCTAGATACCTATGCAATTATATCATAAATTGGAGAGTTGCCGAATTGTATTTTGAAAGTAGAGCTTTATGACTCATGGGTCTATTGTTAAATATTTTCCTTGTTGAAAACATTTAGTGGGGTCAAATTAAACCATATCTCAGTACATCTAAGGCTTGACTGAATATCAAAAATTTGAAATAGCTTTTCGGGATCCTTTTGCAAAGGCATAATAACGCCTTTTGAAAAGGCGTAATAACGCCTTTTTGATAGGCGTAAAAACGCCTTTTTGATAGGCGTAATAACGCCTTTTTCTTTCAGCTCATTCATATTCCAATTCAAAGCATGCAAAAGAAAACAAAACAGACAAATCGGGTGGAAATTTTGCGGAAAGTTGTGAACTCCCACCAAATCTAAGAAACTGGCAGACGCAAAGAGATGTAGAGAAAGACGAAGTTTTTCAGGAAAATCCGGCAAAAAGCAACAATTTACCAAAAATGTTCGTTTTCCCCAAAAATAAAAAGTCCACTTCATACAAAGGAATAAATCTTCGAAATATAATCCTTTTGATCTGTAGCATTTCTGTCATCATCCTGACGCTTGTATTTGTTGACTTCTTGCAGAAAAAAATTCATTTAAAAAAAATACCGAAAGAAATTTATATCGAAAAGTTAAATATTAAAGGATGTAACCATATTGAGGTTGAAGATGTGTGGATAACATCATTACCAAAGCTGCTTACTGAATCCGCGTTTAGATTATTAGATGTTAATCAAGATGGAATTCTGGACATTGCATTTGGTTTTGCAACAGGCGTGGATGGATATTTTATACCGAGAATTGTTTGTGATATCTATTTTAACGGTACGTATCCTTGCTTTGGTGGCATGATTGCCCTTGATGGCAGAAACGGGAAAGAATTATGGAGACATTATTCCGATCATGAATTGTTTGGTATAAACTGTAACGCCGACCTGAATTTGGATGGTGTGAATGACTGTCTCGGTGGAGGAAGATCAGGGGTATGTATCTTTCAAGTCCTAAATAGAACCATTATTATTGAGCAAAATTTGAAGAGTTTATTGTCAAGATATAATTCTGAACTTCTTTTGTTCAATATTCTTTTCATTTTTAGCACTTTAGCCCACCTTATAATATATCATTTGATCTCACTTAGTAATTTATATTATAGTGATTTGATATCACTTGTATTTTGACATATGCAGATCCTTGAGAATTTTATTTTGCTTCCAAAGGCAACATCGCTCACCTGAGCATTTTGGCAAAAATCAGTATGGTATTGCAAGGTTGTTTTATTTTTTTTTTTGGGGGGGGGGGGCTTGTCCTATTCTAGGGGACATTATTTGAACGTTAACACTACCTGAGGATGCTTCTGAATCAATATGACATCCTAGCTTTGATGTTCTTGAGAAAAAAAATTTATTGATACATCTTCTATATTCTTTTGTGTAACTTTGATCCCCTATTGTGGCCCCACTCTTCCCCTGGGAGTCATGATTTGAAAAATTTGATTCTACACTACCCGAGGATGCTTCCATTTCATTATAACTAATCAAAGCTTTGCTGTTCTTGAGAAAAAGATTTAAAAAGATTTTTCCTGTGCATTTTAATGTAAAACTTTGAACGCCCATTGTGGCCCCATCCGACCCCTTGAGGTCATGTTTTGAACAAACTTGATTCTATATAACCTGAGGGTGCTTCCATATCTATTGTAGTCTCACTATCCCCTGGGACATGATTTGAACAAACTGGAATATTTTTAATATTCCCAACAACCAAAATGAATTTGAATTACCATATTTATATTTGATTCTGAAACTTCATACAAATCCTAACAAACAAAGATACTTAGCGGGTTCCAGTAAATGTTCTACCAAGCCTCTTTCTTTATTCCTCACTAAAATATTAACAGCAGTGAAGGAGAAACTTCAGGAGTACTGTGAAACTATATATTCGAGAAGTGGTTAAATCAGATGTGGATACTTAAAAATTCCATGGAACTTTTGGAAAATTTTAAATCACAAAATTTTACCAAAATCAACAACATAAAAACTTACGACTTTTCAACTTTATATACAACCATTCCACACGATAAATTAAAGTCCAGGCTTTTTGATATCATTAACAGCTGCTTTTTCAATAAAAATGGAACTCGTAAATTTACTTATCTTCTCATTGGTCATTTGCAAAATTATTTTGTTAAAAAACATTCTGATTGTAAACACATGTACTCTGAAATTGATATTAAAAGATGCTTGAATTTCTGATTGACAATATATATATGGTTTTAAGAGATCAGGTCTTCCAACAATTTATTGGAATTTCCATGGGTATCAATTGCGCCCCGTTATTAGCAGACCTATTTAGCTCACCTGAGCTGAAAGCTCAAGTGAGCTTTTCTGATCACCCGTTGTCCGTCGTCCGTCCGTCTGTCCGTCGTCCGTCCGTCTGTAAACTTTTCACATTTTCAACTTCTTCTCAAGAACCACTGGGCCAATTTTAACCAAAGTTGGTACAAAGTATCCTTGGGTGAAGGGGGGTGTACATTGTTAAAATAAAGGGCCATTTCCCTTTACAAGGGGAGATAATCAAGAAAAGACAAAAATAGGGTGGGGTCATTAAAAAATCTTCTTCTCAAGAACCACTGGGCCAGAAAAGCTGAAACTTATGTGGAAGCATCCTGGGATAGTTAATTGGGATAATTGTTAAAATAGTTAATTGGGATAATTGTTAAAATCGTGACCCTCGGGGGTAGGGCGGGGCCACAATAGGGAATCCAAGTTTTATATTGAAATATATCAGAAAAATCTTTAAAAATCTTCTTCTCAAGAACAACTTGGCCAGAAAAGCTGAAACTTAAGTGGAAGCATCCATTGTTCAAATCATGACCCCCGGGGGTAGGGCGGGACATAATATGAAATCCAAGTATTACATTGAAATATATAAGAAAAATATTAAAAAATCTTCTTTTCAAGAACCACTGGACCAATATTTGGAAGCATCCTGAGGTAGTGCAGGTTGTAAATTGTTGAAATCATGAACCCCGGGGGTAGGGCGGGACCACAATAGGTATATTAAAAGGGGGAAATCTGGTAAAGAACAGCATGGCCAAAGCTACTTAGGTGAGCGATGTGGCCCATGGGCCTCTTGTTTTGTATTCATATGAAGCAGAATTTGTTCAAAATCTTGTACGTGAAAAGAAAACACTTGCTGTGGCCTTGAACTCGACATTTAGATATATCGACGACGTATTGTCAATAAACAATGAAAAAATGGACGATATACATATGGAATCTTCCATGGATGACTTGCAATTGGCATGTACATATTTGAATCAAAGTTTGCAGTTAATAGTATTTGTTTTATATAGATAAAAAGTTTAATATACTGAACCTTGCGAATGTTTTGTATACTCCATTCCTACGATACCGGTGGTTCTACGGTACCGGGGTATCCCTTTATTCATAAATTCACTTGCTATAGGCAACGCCTGGTGGCCAGAAATTTTTAGAAAAAGATTCGTTATCCCTCGTTGTCATTACTTTTGCTTTAGATCTTAAAATGTTGCAAAGTCTTGTAAGTTATCAAAAATTACATTGGATGGACACATTTTTAAACTTTACCTGTAACAGTCCTCATACCTTGCATTGTAAAAATGTCACAAACAGTCAATTTATAGGCGCATTTTACAACTGATTGGCATATTTGTTGTCGTCTGGTTTATTTACATTAGGAATGAGGTCATATGTCATGTGACCACAGTGGAAAAATAATGTTCTAAACAACATTTAATCTTTCGATTTATGCTAAACGTCCCCATTAAGGAGTTGAAGGACTGGCCCCTAAATATATCCTTTGCACATAGCTCGGAAACGAAAAAGAATTTCTGAATAGTTGTTGAACAAAAAGTGTTTAAAATCATAAGAGCTTTAAAGTGGTATGAAGAAAAAGGGACTGGCCCCTCAAAATAGGGGCTGAGAGGGGCCAAAAGTCTTTAATCAATAACTTTTTAACAATCAATATTTTGCAATTCATTACTGAAACAAAAATGTTATCTTAACAATTTACAACTGTATATTATAAAATGTATGTCATATGTTACATAATTAGGGGCCATAAGGGGCCAGAATACCAAATCATTGGCATTCTATATCTCGAAAGTGGGAAATATTTTGATCAGCAATGCTGAATAAAAGATGTTCAAAATAATGTTCTAAACAATATTTAACCTTTCGATTTTTGTTAAACGTCCCCATTAAGGAGTTGAAGGGCTGGCCCCTAAATATATCTTTTGCATACATCCTGGAAACGAAAAAGAATTTCTGAATAGTTGTTGAACAAAAAGTGTTCAAAATCATAAGATCTTTAAAGTGGTATGAAGAAAAATGGGCTGGCCCCTCAAAATAGGGGCCGAGAGGGGCCACAAGTCTTTAATCAATAACTTTTTAACCATCAATATTTTGCAATTCATTACTGAAACAAAAATGTTTATCTTAACAATTTACAACTATATATTATAAAAAATATGTCATATGTTACATAATTAGGGGCCATAAGGGGCCAGAATACCAAATCATTGGCACTCTATATCTCGAAAGTGGGAAATATTTTAATAAGCAATGTTGAATAAAAGATGTTCAAAATAATGTTTTAAACAATATTTAACTTTTCGATTTTTGCTAAACGTCCTCATTAAGGAGTTGAAGGGCTGGCCCCTAAATATATCTTTTGCTTATATCTCGGAAACGAAAAAGAATTTCTGAATAGTTGTTGAACAAAAAGTGTTCAAAATCATAAGAGCTTTAAAGTAGTATGAAGAAAAAGGGACTGGCCCCTCAAAATAGGGGCTGAGAGGGGCCAAAAATCTTTAATCAATAACGTTTTAACGATCAATGTTTTGCAATTCATTACTGAAGCAAAAATGTTTACCTTAAAAATTTCCAACTATATATTATGATATTCACATCACATGTTATATATTTAGGGGCCAGAAGGCCAAATCTTTGGCACTTTATATCTCGAAAGTGGGAAATGTTTTGATAAGCAATATTGAATAAAAGATGTTCAAAATAATGTTCTAAACAGTAAGTAACCTTTCGATTTTTGCTAAACGTCCCCATTAAGGAGTTGAAGGGCTGGCCCCTAAATATATCTTTTGCATATATCTCGGAAACGGAAAAGAATTTCTGAATAGTTGTTGAACAAAAGGTGTTCAAAACCATAAGAGCTTTAAAGTAGTATGAAGAAAAATGGGCTGGCCCCTCACAATAGGGGTCGAGAGGGGCCGAAAGTCTTAAATCAATAACTATTTAAGGATCAATATTTTGTAATATATTACTGAAGCGAAATAGTTCATATTCACACTCTTTAACTATATAACATGGTGTTTACATCATATCTTATGCAATAAGGGATAATTAGGGGTCAGATTGTATAATCTTTGGTGCAGTAAATCTTGAAAAGGAAGAATATTTTGATAACCAATATTTAAACAAAAGACGTTCAAAATAATATTCTTAATAATATGCAATCATTCAATTTTTGCTAGACGTCCCCGTTTAGGACTTTAAGGGTCGGCCCTTAATATTTCTTTTGCATATATCTCGGAAACGAAAAAGAATATCTGAATAGTTGTTGAACAAAAAGTGTTCAAAATCATGAGAGCTTTAAGATGATATCAAGAAAAAGGGGCTGACCACTCATGTAAGGGGCCAAGACGGGCCGGAAGTGTTTAATCTATAACTTTTTATTGATCAATATTTTATTACACATTACTGAAGGGAAATTGTTTGTCTTAAGAATTTATTGATATAACTATGTTTTAACGAAAATCTCAGTCAAATTCTTATCTCATCTTATCGAAAATTGGACGGAAGACCCACTCGTTGCTCGCAACGAGATCGCATCTAGTTATTATTCTTTTTTTTCTTTACAAAATTTGTGCAGAAGATTTCTCGGAGATGGTTTGTTCGATTTTATTCAAATTTTCATGGTAGATGCG